GGTGGCGTTCCATTCTGTTTGTATTTTTTCTAGTTAGTGTCTCCGTCCTTCCCTTTTCTTCGGTATTCCTGGACAAATGTATAGTTGTCGGTTCTGTGATCGACTCCAGCGGTAGATTTACGTGATTGTCACCCAAGCGTACCATTCTTTTGTCCTTTCGCAGTTGGTTCGTGTGTCTAACACAGCTTCCGGAAGCTCCTGTTATCCGATGCAAAACTCTTCCTAGTCTTTGTACGATGGTTCCTGGTTCCCATTGATTTTTCCCCAGATATGATTTTAGGAACACTTTATCGCCAACGTTGAAGCTGCGAATATTTTGATTTGGGCTGTACCTATTCGCTCTTTTAGGGGGCAACATCGCGTTAAAAATAGTCTGAATACTTCTTCCAAACATTGCTTCAGCTGGAGACTTCCCCTCTGGGACCGTCTGGTTCGGAGTGCTTCTGTAAGTCGTTAAGAATCTAGTGACTACTTGGCTAGTTGGCCCCTCGTCTCCCCCTTTCAGTAAAGCTCTTTTGAATGTGTCAACGAAGAGTTCTGCTTGTCCATTGGATTGGGGATGGTGAGGTGGGGACCGTAGCTGAGTTATGCCGTTTGAACTGCAGAATCGCTTGAATGAGTCGGCATGCTGTATATTTCTGGCCTTTTTGTATACGCATCTGCAATAATTGGTAACATTTTACCTTGGATTAGGCCAGCGAGATCTGCATGAATTCTCTTCCAACGTCCAGTAGGTTTCTGCCGTTGTTGAGGCTCACATTTCGAAGGGCTTTTTGCGGCTTGTACGCATGAAAGGCAGTGTCGGCATTGGGTTTCTATATCTTTATCCATCGAGAGCCAGTAGGCGTAGCTGCGCACCAACGATTTCATATTGTTTATTCCAGGGTGACCACTGTGAAATTGCTTGAGGGTTTTATGTCGCAATAATTCTGGAATAATAACAACATTCTGGAATAACAACATTTCGCAAGTAATCTTTTCCAAGTCAGATATACATTAGATAATAACATTCAGGTAAAACTGATTGATGATTGAACAGTTGAAATATTCAGTATTAAACTATTGAAGGGTTGGTTGTATTGATAAATTTATTTCTGAAATATTAATCATTACCTACAATTATATTATGACAATGTGTACTTTTGATTTGAAATCTTCATTGAAGATGATAATATTTTTTTTTGTCAAGTGACAATGATGAACCACAGTAACAAATATTGATTATTGAATTTTAACTGAATTGAAGTGAATCAATAGTTTTTGATTGATGATTTATCATCAATTATAATTATGATAGATTTTCTACGATTCATTTCCTGTACTCGTCATTGTAAATTTAAACAAGCAAATATCGTCAATAAACAGTTTAGTATTGTGAAGTCGTTGTGTGTAGCCATTAGTGTTATGTCATCCCGGGTTATGGAATAAAGTTGAATGAAATGAAATTGATCACAGAGAAATAGGTGTGACGAGTCACACATTTATGTGGCATGAATCTGATGGGATACTACACTCACTCACTCATTGATATTTGTACAAAATTATCATTTCACATTGTCAAAGGGTCTCAAACTAGAAGAGAATTCTGTTGTTTGTATATCTAATATCAACTGGTGAGGAGGATCAGTCTAGGTTTTTTCAGTGAACATGGATTCTTCTACATTAACAAGTCTGGGAAAATACAGATCGACGATGAGACTGATTGTTGAAGGATAATGGTGTTACCTTTCAAATGAAACAATGAAGGTGATTGTGAATGAGAATGAGAGTAGTTCAAATGTGCCAATATTCATTGAAATACAAATGAAACTGTTACATCTCGATTCGTCGTGTTCTGATTATTTGAAATTGAAGTTGATAATAGTGCATGTAAGGAGGCGAATGGATGAAATACCACGGAATCATGAATCAACAAACCAAATCGTATGAATGAGTCAATCGTTATGTCCATCGAAAGCTACCTACTGCACAAACAGTTCCATCTGATCGTTTATTTTCGGATTCTGAACTGAACAGTTCAGTAAATGCAGAATATTCATTCTTCAACTCCAAGTATTATCAATTATTGTAGAATAGATTTTGTTACAGAGTGACAATAAATTTCAACCACAAACAAATATGAGTAGTTCCTATTGTATGATTAGTTTTTCCGTATTGATCGAAGAATATGCCAGTTGCTTTTGTTTTCGAATCTTTGAAGAGAAAGTTATTAAGGTATTTGATTTGTTTATCTTGTAGAGACATTGGTGGAAGTGGAATACATGATTGTATGGAGAATATGACACTTTTTGAAAGAAATTCATTATCCAATGGCTGACTGATTAACTGTGAATTCAGTAATCGATCAAAATTGATACAATCAACTGATTGTGTTTTGTATTTATTCTGTAATATTTTCACTCAACCGACTATGGATTTTTACATTCATGTGAGAAATGAAAGACACCAGTAACTCGAATCTGTGTGCTTTTATCAATGCAACTGTTTCTAAGGAGTCGGTTATAGATCATGAACAATTCGACAAGCACATTAGCGTATAACAACAGAAAAACATCCATTTTGGTTGAGCAAATGACAGGTAAGTGTGATGAAGAGTTTTATTCTCGTCCACTTTTTGTATAGAAGAGATCGAGTTGATTTGGATTAAACCTTTAATGTCATCCGTCATGTTCCATCAAGTTTTTACTACATGGTTAACGAGTTCGTCATTTGCATATTTCTGAAGTTATCGGGATCTGTGTTCCAAAACACATCCTTTGTATTCGAAAGAAGTTTATGCAACCACTGTTGCTTCCTTGGTCAACGGTATGGTAGTGAATTTTAGTTGAACAATGATTGACCTCATTCTTTCAATCAATATTCAAACAATGTTCTGACATCTTTTACTTTACTGTTTGAGGGAATCTTTTATTTTCACAGATTGTCCTAACATTTCATACTCGCATGTATATTCTTTTCCAGGGTCATGAGAAGCGAAATTCGCCTTAGGATTTGCTGGGTTTCTTTGTACTCTCTAGGAAGTGTGATGACTTTCTAACACAAAAACGCTTCATTTCTCAGTGCATTTTATAACGAGATTTATATGTTATGCGGAACATTTCTGAAGGCATCCTATTAGTTTTTTTAATGTTTTCAAACTCAAAGCAGTATACGAAATTTCTGCTATTCTCTACTGTTTCAGATCACTGTAACAGTTCGTTTAATTATAACATCCTCTTAAAAAAACTTAATAGTTTTGTAATGAACGGGAATTTAAAGAGTTTGAATCTGTTTTATAAATTTCAATTGTGATTTTCAATGGAATTTAGAAAAGTTCTTCTTGTCTGGATTTTTTTTCCAGGTAGATATATCTGCATATCATTGGTATTGTGTATAATAAGACGACTTGAATTACATACTTATCTTTTCAAGCATCACAATGGATCATTCAATGAGCAACTAAGTTTACAAAGATACGAATTTGTTCAATGGGTATAGATTTTTTTGATTAAACGAAAATATAAACACTGAAAAATAACTTCATATCCATTCAACAAGTTAGTGTTTATGCAGCAGACTCAGTAGCTTAATGGATAAGTCGTTACGGTTTAAGCAATGTATACCTAGTTGATTCTCATAATTAAAACGAACACTAAGGTGGGTATACAAACATTTAACAAGTCTGAATTGGGGAGAAATGTGTGTCATATATTTATGAGGTAGACATAATCTCAACAAAACAAAAAAATGTTTGACCAATTGTGTTTGGGATGTTAGAATCCCATAGCTCATTTAGAAAAAGTCCTAATTTTGCATTTTGTGTTGTCATGCCTAGAGACACTTGGTTGACCTTGAGATTACTTTTCCCACCCGGAAAATCCTTGGCTGTCATTGGTTGATGGTTTATTTTAGTGAGCTATTATTTTTGTGGCTCTCCCAAGGGCGTTTCTATCATGTATAAATAAACTCGATTTGTGTGCTTGTGTAACCTCGTATTTTCTGGGTGCTTGTAGAATACACTATCTATTCCTTATCATGACTTCTTGATATAGTTAGCAGGGCTGGGGACAATCGGATTAGAATAGTCTATCGTGTCACTGTATCATTCCTTTGATCTCGTTTACCGAGTAAGGTGAACTCATCATAGTTTTCAAGCGTATCAAATTGATAATATCAAGGCAATTCAAGCAGAATGAATGATCTCAACAGAAGCTGTATAATTCATGAGATGTTTGAGAAAATTTTTGTAACTCAAGTGAAGCTTCGTTCTATCAGCTCACACAACGAAACTCTACCATACTGATTAATTAACTTGTAGTGCCTCCACATATATTCCAGTTCGCTTACATCTAATTTGGTTAAGCCCTTTCGATTAATTTATTTAACCAAGCCATTTGTAGTGCAACAATTTATATGTGCCATTCGTTCTTATTATTGTTTGGTTTGTATGAGCTCATGTGACTTGTTCTACTTGTCATTTGACCTTGTCAATCATTCGTCGCTTTTATTTATGTGTGTGCATGCCTATCTTTTTGGTCCCATGTCTGTCTTATTTTTGTCTAACTATATATTCTTAGTCATGCTCTATCTCTTGGAGTTGGCTCATTAGCCTTCTCCAACGCGCTTCGCCTGTTCATTCGCCTCCTTCGCCCATTCGTTCGCATTGTAATCCTGGAAGTTGGCTCAACAGCCTTCTCCAATTCACGTCGCTTCATTCGTTTTATTCACTGCTTCTCCGCTTTGCTTTGTGGTGTGTCCCAAATAAACGTATTCAACTCTACGAGTTCGCCTTCTGATTTATAAATCGTCAGACACCATTTGGTAACGATTGTCTGGACGAGATAATTACCGAGCTTAAGAACACGCAGTAAATCGACACACTACAAACTAATATCAGCACTGAGTAATTTCAAACTCTTACCAATATTTTCTCACATATATATGTATATTTATGTATTAGTACTAACCCCTTTAGAATGAACAATTATTTCACCCACTTGTTCTAGTAAGAAAGAAAAGCCTTTTTTTTCATTCAAAAGATAATATTTTATAATTGTATGTTTTTAAAATTAGCTCAGTAAAACAAAAGTTACAAACACAAGTCAAAATAGGAACTAATAAGCAAAAATATATTGAATTTAAATTAAGTATTTCCCAATCGGTAATGTCATTATTATTCTACTGTAAAGAAATTTTGTTGAAACAAAATTAATTTAATATTCTTTTTAATTCATCATTTTATAACAAAAACGAACAAACAAATGAAAATAACCGATTTGTTGCATTAAACTTTAATAATTCTATTTCTTGATCGTGTATTTATATGAGCTAGTAAAAATTCACGTTCATCATTGCTAATAAATGCTGACATAGCTGCATTAAAATTAGCATTATTCAATTGATTCGGTGTTAAACCTAATTCTTCCATACAATATTTTGCTTCTTGTAAATTCCATCTTTCTGTTAATGTTGGATCATCTGTATTAATAGAGAAATTGAGTTTATCTTCAATGAAACGATGTATTGGATGATTAGTTGGATTTTGACCATCTACTGAACCAGTGACAAAACTTGATGATGGACAAACCTAAATTGGAAATGAGAAATTTACTTGTTAGTATTCATTAGTATTCATTACCATTATTGTTATTATTATTATTTGAAATCATCAATCAATCATTGTTAGAACCACCATTAGAAACTTGGAAGCACTGAAGGACGGCTGTTTTGTCCTGGTATGGGACTCATCAGCAGTACGCATTCACGACTCTTGCCAGTCACAGGATTCGAACCCGCGCGCGAACGCCTAACCTGTGATACACTGGGCCTGCATCCAACGGTGTTAATGTTTAACTCTGATTGATTTAGAGATTTTGCGCGACCTTACCCATTTGTCTTTGGTAGTTACTGCCTGAACCCGACAGGGTTGAACTCCACTGGTCACGTCTTTAAGTGAGTTTATGAAGGATCTTTATGCTTAGCAATACATATGATACAATGTAGATATTGAGTAAGTAATCTTATGAAAACTGCCTTCAAACTTGCAAGAAAGCTTTCAGATTATACGGATTTCTTTATTTTGCTGGTAAGTAATGGTTTTAACAAGTAATCAAATCCTCAATAACTTTTATTGCTATATTGACCTTTGCCGTTTTCTAATTGAGTACATTTCTCTTTGGATTTGCCATGCTGTCATTTGTTCACAACGTGACCGTTGCTACTGTACAAAAACAGGGTTATTGTATCATATGATTGACTTCTTTTTGGGAATATTAGAGCTTTTCTGAAGGATAAGTCATCATCACTTTAATTTATTCATGAGTTGATTGTAAACACTGAACTGTTGTTATGTATCTGTAATTTGATCGACCCAATTTTGTGAAATGACACTATTTATTAGAAGAATCTCACAGTTGTTTGTATCCTTAAATGATTAAAATAATTCTCCAACGATGACAAAAATTGAGTTGTATCTACGAAAACCCAACTCAGAACAGTATATTTTGGGATCAAGTTAAATGAATCGGTTAATCTATTTCTATTTCAAGATAATTAACAGTTTACATTACGGGGTTGTGAAGGTTGTTAAGTTACACACTTTTGAAACCATGAATCGATCAATGTTAGACCAACATTAGAAACCTGGAAGCACTGAAGGACGGTCACCTCGTCCTGTTATGGGACTCCTTAGCAGTGCGCATCCACGACTCCTGCAGCCCGCCAAATTCGAACCCAGGAATTTCGGTTTTGGGCGCGAACGCCCTAACCGTTAGACCACTGAGCCGGTATCCTACGGTGTTAATGTCTAACTAGATCAATTCACGGTCTTGCACAACCTCATACACAGTCTTCGGTAGTTACTTTCTACACCCGAACAGACTGAGCTTCACTGGTCACCTCTTCCCATTGGAACTTGGAGAAGATTCCTCATGAAGCTAGTCACTAGTGAGCACAGGTAATTTGCGTTACGGGGTTGTGAAGATTAGCAGTTTATTCAATATAAACTGATATCAACGATAAAGAGAAAAAAATGGATTATTTGTTTGAAATAAAGTTAGTCTTTTGCATGGAATCAACGTCATAAGAGTAACCATTGAAAACCAAGGAGTATTTGGATAGTTGTTCTTGAGGAGTCAAAAGTTGTGGACCGTCGGAGTTCAAATACATTGAGAGTGAATAATTTAACCGCTTATTTCACTAGATAAAGTTACGTTGGAGTTATAAATTCGAATAACTGGATTAGAGATGAATTAGTTTGAGGATAGTGTGGTTGCCACGAGACCTAAAAATCTTACATTCAGTTTTTAAAAAAGATTGTTCGTTTCATACTACTGGAAACTCTGGAGCAATAAAACAACTATCCAGTTCTATTCCTACTTTTTTCAATAATTACTTATTTACTTACGCCTGTTACCCTTCGTGCAGTATAGCCCGCCAACCAGCATTCCCCAACCTACTCTGTCCTGGGCCTTCCTTACCAGTTTTATCCAATCGCTGTTCATTCGTTTCATGTGTTCTTTGATCGTTCTCTTTCCCTTTGGCCTTGAGGACTTCAAAAGAGGGCTTGTCTTGTGATGCAGTTGGATGTTTTCTGCGATTTGTGTCTTGAACACTTCGAGCGCTTTTTCCTGATTTCTTCCTCTGCTGGAATCTGGTTTGTTCTCTACCACAGTAAGTTGTTACTGATGGTGTCTGGCCAACAGATACACAGTATCTTGCACAGGCATCTGTTAATAAACACTTGTATCTTCTGGATGATGGCTTTCGTAGTTCTTCAGGTTTCCACTCCATCTAGTAGAACCATCTTGACATTTTTATTGCAAATTCTGATTTCGATGTTGATTGACAGCTGTTTTGAGTTGCAGATGTTGTTCAACTGTAGAAATGTTGCCTTCGCTTTGCTAATCCGTGCCTTTATATAGGCATCAAATCCAGCTTGCTCATCCATAATGCTGCCCAGGTATGTAAAAATTACTACATCCTCCAAAGCTTCTCCGTTAAGTGTGATTTAATCAGTGCATGTTGTGTTGTATCGAAGGGTCTTGCTTTTTCCCTTGTGTATGTCGAAACCTACTGATGCAAAGGTGACTGCTACATTGGCAATCTTCTCCTGTATTTTTTTGTTGAATGTGGACTAAAAAGGTATAATTATTACGGAAATAAACAGCTTTTTATCTTTATGAATAAAAAGAAGTATAAGTTATTGGTTTATTCTTACTTCAAAGTGTACACCGGATTTAAGTAGTGCTTTATAAGCATTTTCATCATCTAAAATATGATATCCATGACCAATACGTTCAGCGTGTAAATAATTCACTGCTTCATAGACACTATTAGCTGAACTATTTTCACCAACATGTACAGTACGATGAATATTAGCTTTTTTAGCATTTTCAAATGTTTGTACAATTTCTTCAGGAACACGTTGAGATTTTAAAATTGAATCATCACCTATGATGTTAATCAAGAATGAATAATTATAATAAAATTTTTTCAAATTAGAATTATAGAGATCAGTGTTCTTTTTTTTTACACACTTGAAAACATCAATCAATCATTGTTAGACTACCATTAGAAACCTAGAAGCACTGGACAGCCATTTCTTCCTCGTAAGGGACTTATCAGCAGTGCGTAACCATGACTCCTGCACCTCGCAGGATTCAAACCCGGTACCATCAGCCTTGTGCGTAAACGCTTGACCTCTGGACCACTTGGCCTGCATCTAACGATGTTGACTTGACTGACTGAGAAGTAAAAGAATAAAATATGATAGATGACTAATTTCTAATACCTTTCATCATATCCATAACTAATAAGTATCAGCTAATGAGTCATAAAAAAAACTTTCAACCTTGTATATATGTGATCAGTTCAGGTTGTTACAATAAATCAACACTGCGAAATGAACTTATCAGGACAAGTGTCAGAATAGTAGAAGTAGTAAAAGTACTAATTATCGGAAGAAAGATTAAGCATAGAGAATATGATGGGAGAAGAAAGAATGATTTCGGCAAAATGAAAATTGAAAGATAATCTTAAAATTCAAGATCTAGGAAACGACAAAAAATGAATGCACCTGCACGATTGTAATCGGTTATGACTAGTATTACCCAACATCGACAATTGGTTACGATAACCTTACGAGCTTGAATCCTAATGGTCTGCACCTACCAACATATTTCTATGCAACAGTCGGTTACTTTATGATTATGGATTAGATACCTATTACTTTCTTCTAACTTACCCCTACATAAGCAAACGTCATGTATGAAGGTTCATGGTGGCTATACAGATGTGACACATATCCTATCCGCTTTATTTGAAAAATATTTACTACTCTATCAATTACTACTCTATCCATCAGTACCAAGTATCGTGAGTTGAACATTAAAATTCCCAAGTCATTAGTCTTATTTACAGTAAACTACTTGAAAACAAAAGATATGATTAATATAATACTTATAACAACAATAAAATAAAAACAGATTAACTTACTTACCTGCAATATCAATTGCAACAACTCCATGTGGTTTATAATTTTTAGCTAATTCTAATGTTTCTTTAGCTGTCTCAGGCATATGTCGCATAATTGATAGAATAGAACGAACTTCTATTCTATACTTTTTACTAGCTCTATTAAGCGCATCCAAAATAGTTTTTAATACTTCTTCTACACTACATTTAGAATCAGTTAGTATAAATGGACAAAATCTTGTTTCCACATAGCATAAACCACCATGTTTTACACAATCTTCAACAAATTCTTCACAAATACGTGCTAAAACTTCCTGATTGAATAAACAGAATTGATGTGTGTGTGTGTGGGAGAAGGTGGGGGAGAAATAAAGAAGAAAGCACATTAATTAACAATATAAAACAACTAAATAAAACAAAAAATAACTTTCAGGACTGCAGATGATCAGTCTCCGGTGGTACATGTGTACCCTGAGCACACTATCATGATGCAACTTTTTAGTTATGCATTTTAAGCATATTTTAATCTTAGCTAACAATGAAATACTAGAAAAAACATGTTTCGTCCTACTTGTGACTCGTCAACTGGATATATCTGAATTCCAGTATTGATATGCACACTGAGAACCATTACTTAAAACTTCAACAAGATATCTACTAAGTTGCTCAGTACACAAAGATAACAACTTATTCAACATGAATAAAGTTACTTGTGCGGATTTTTATCTTACCGTTACAAGCAGGTAATTAAATAAAAGGTTTAGAAATTATTCAAAAAAATACTAACTTGTCAAAATTATTTTGATATCAAACAAATGTTTTATGGTCGATAGGAAATCCTGAACCTAGATATCGTGCTATTTCGTACTTGTCAGTAGCATGTACATGTAATCATGAAGAAACTGCTTTGTATTGATGGATGCAAACTCACATCACACAACTTTAGTTTCACATATTACTACTGAGTTCTTCGAATCATAACTAACTTGCCATAAGACAGAGGATATTTACAATTAATGTTATTTGCATTACGGGGTTGTAAAGATTGTTAATGCAAATTACCTGTGCTCACTAGTGACTAGCTTCGTGAGGAATCTTCTCCGAGTTCTAGTGGGAAGACGTGACCAGTGAAGTTCAACCTGTTCGGGTGTAGACAGTAACTACCGAAGACTGTGTATGAGGTTTCGCAACTCCGTGAATTGATCAAGTTAGACATTAACACCGTTGGATACCGGCTCAGTGGTCTAACGGTTAGGGCGTTCGCGCCCAAAACCGAAATTCCTGGGTTCGAGTCCTGCGGGCTGCAGTAGTCGTAGATGGGCACTGCTGAGGAGTCCCATACCAGGACGAGGTGACCGTCCTTCAGTGCTTCCAGGTTTCTAATGTTGATAAAACATTGATCGTTACATGGTTTTAAAAAATGTAAATTAATGTTATGTTTGTTCAGTATTTTGTTTGTTCTGATTACGTTCTCTAATCTAGCTACAAATGCGCACGTATTTAGTCTGATGAATTCTATTCTCTATTTTTATCATTCTTATTTTGTTTTTATTTTCGATTTCTTTTGAGTTTAATTACAATAGCATTGATAATCAATGTTGATATATAATTTACAAATTACTCTTGAAATGAAAAAAAAACTCCTTATAACAATCTTTCTAGTATTCATTAGAAAATCAATGTCATAAATATAATTTTTTGACGAATGTTATAATAATATAAGGTTACATCAATAAAATTTGCACTAATAAACACTGTTATTTTGATTTAAATCAATTAGAAAAGCATTGGAACATTTAAAGTGTTTTGAAATAATAATAGTTACCGAAACTAGCTTTTTTTCATACAAAAAAATGTAAGGAGTAGTTTTTTACACATTTGAAATCATCAATCAGTCATTGTTAGACCACCATTAGAAACCTGGAAGTACTGAAGGACGGCCATCTCGTCCTAATATTGAACTCATTACTAGTGTGCATCCACGACTCCTGCCATTCACAGTATTCCAACCCGGGACCTTCGGTGTTATGCGCGACTATCCAACTCCTGGACCACTGGGCCGGCACCCGATTGTGTTAATGTCTAACTCTGATTGACTTAGGGGTGGTCAGGTTGTGCAAATTAATTAGATCAATCGGAGATAAACATTAACACAATTGGATGCCGGCCCAGTGGTCCATAAGTTGGACAATCGCGCGCAATACCGAAAGTCCAGGGTTCGAATCCTGTGAATGGCGGAAGTCGTGGATGCGCAATGCTAATGAGTGCCGTACCAGGAAGAAACGGCCGTCCTTCAGTGCATCCAGGTTTCTAACGGTGGTCTAACAATGATTGATTGATGATTTTAAATGCGTAAACAACAATGATATCCATAACTCGAATTGAAAAATTGTAAGGAATAGTAAAAAATTGTTTACATTGTTTTTTTTACACCAATCTTATCAATAATGTTTTGAAAAATTGTTGGGCTGAAAAAATAATTTTGATTTACTCTTTGTCCAGGTTACGAAACGTAAACAAAGTACCGTATAGTATGAAAAAAATTTATTGTCAACTTATTGAAACACTAATTAGCTTATTGTTATCAATACCAGTTTGACTAATTGTACAAATAAGAAACAATCTAGTATAAAGTATGATATACTAGTTGTTAAGATGTTAAGTGGGTGAAGGTAGTTGGCATTGGGGCCTTGAATCTAGGCTTGATGCTAGTTAACACTCCCGTACAAGGCATATTTGCAGATTTAAGGAGAATGATTATTTCTTTAGGATCAAAGTCTGTGCTTCTTACGTTTACAGTCTCAGATGTTACAATTGAGAAGTTTGAATCTATCCAAAAATGCGAAACTAAGTGATGCCAGTTCAAATCATACAGGAAGTATCATAATCAGGTATCTTTTGCTGATGGGCACCGAATAGTACGGGTTTTTTTGCAAACTACTTCCAATAAACTATCATCTTAACATATTGCATACCCAAACTTTTCAGTTTGTTACAACTTGATCAACAAAAATCGATCAGACAAACATGATTTTAGTTGCCATTGAGTGATTAACTAACTGTAGGTTATTTATTTATTTTGCAAACTAATGAGTAAAGAAGTGAACTTTATATGGAAATCTTCATAAAAATGCAGAAATAGTAAGGATTCAGTATACTGATAAATCAAATGACAATTATTCTCAATCATCTAATGGCTTATCTTATTTGAAATGCCAACAGAAGGTGATTATCATTATTGTGATATTTACAGTGAATCAGTTTATTTGATGACAGTGATGTTTACAAGATGAGAGAAACTACGCGATTATATAAGATTACTTAACAAACTTTATTTTGAGGATGGGACTTATGAGTTCGTTAATTGCATAGGACGTATTTTATTCTTTAGTAATGGTGAGAATGATTTCTAACTCAGTAAGTTTAAACCTGTGTTTTTCCAAATAGCATAGGTATATTTGTGAAACTATAAATTTCGTAATTTCCTACCTAATGGAGGAGTTTAGAAACTTGTTTGAAATTACCACATACAGAGCATTCCATATTATGTAAACGATCAGTGTTAGCCTGGCATCATTTTACTATTCGAGTTTCATGTTATACTTTAATATTTATAGACGTAATTATAATAAAATATTTTATCTGAATTTTTTAAAGCAATTTTAGAAAATATTCATTCATTTTTTGAATTACACAAATTTTGTTTTCAAAAAAATTAATGTACATATATAGGTCTCATATTTCTTCAAGTTTATAGTCTTTAAAAACTACCCAATGGTATATAACTTTAGTTTAATTGGAGATACAACACAAAAGTAGTTAGTTCTCTGACATTATTTTATTGCTGTTATTAACATTATTAAGATTTTCAAAAAACAGCCTACATACATTTGTGCATGAATTTTTAAATTTTTGTTAGTTTACAGTTATTATTTGTTAATTTTCAAATCCAAAAAACAAAAATCTTAAAAAAATAAAAGTTAACAGTAATGTTTTTCATCAACTTCATATCTATCACGTGAAAATGGAGTTTTTCTGTTAATGAGTAGTGAGTATGTAAAGCAACAGACGGTTTAGTCTTGTTTATGAACTATATGTATGAATTTCACCTAAGAAAGACTATTGTTATTATGAAATAATAATAAAGTTGATTAATAAATAAATAAATAGTAACTAGTTAATAAATAGTAACAAATTTTAGTCTCGGTCAATCAGTATTCAAATGCAACGCAAGGCATAAAGGCAAAAACTGCATTAGGAAAGTGCTAATGAAAATACAAAATTCAGGACGGATTTGAAATAGTACTGTATTACATAAAAAAGGTTGATGCATTTCTTAAGCGAACGGGGGGGTCAGATGTTTTATTCAGGCTGTTAGTCATAAAAGGTTAGAACTTAATTACCGGTCGTTTAACTTTCACTGTTTTTGTTTGTTACTAGACTGCTGTTTAGTCTGTCTTGAGATATCTTTAAAGTTGAGGCTTACTATATATATATTATATAAAATTTCTAACCAGCAGCATTCGAAATGTTGAAATCACTTAAACATTAAATAATAATCCTTCAATTATACCATAATTTATGTTGAATAGAGATGATCATGCATTTCCATGAACTTAATTGAATCACTTAACCTTAAGAAATGTTAAGGATTGGATATTTGATAGAATAGTCATTTATTAGACAGTGGGAATGTGGTCATTAATGGAGATAAGTATGGTACCTTTGTTTTATTAGTATTTAAAAACTAAATTGAAAGAAAGCAGATTGTGTAGCTAAAATATGCAAATCTTAATGAAAATCTTGATAAGAGTAATCTGTACTTGAAATGCAACTGACATTACCTAATACATTCTTTGAAATTAGTATTGGAGATAAGCTTCAAATGCTGAACATTTCCCAAGCAAAGTGATTTTTGCGGCGTGAGATATATGTGACTTAAAACTAAGTAATGTTTGAGGTTGCTTGATCAAACCCTCTAGACATGTATAGTTTGATTAAATTTCATCGCATATTATAAGTTACATTCAGTATCAAAAAACGGCCTTCGAAATAAATGAATGATCTGTATTTCATTGGTAGTCGACAACGCTGATTATAAATAAGAGAAAGATTAATTTTAATCTTGTTTTTACATTTACAGTAACATCAGTTCATAAGTGCATATAATTGGGTTTCATCATGCCTTTAAGGATCTTAACATAGAACATTTCATGTTTTTGTATTAGTTAAGACTACTGAAATCTTACCTGACTCGCAAATGTTCATTCTTGATGTTGTAGTGCACTCAAAAAACATAATATACTTCTTGATAATATTTTGTATTGTTACTAATGTATGTGAACGATTTCCGGCTTGTTTATGTCACAGTTAGTCTTATTTTATGTACGCTTGAGTATTTGGTTGAAGGCTTGAGTAGTTTATATCTTGTTTTTTGATATTGGGTGAACATATGCACACTTGGTTCCAGCTTTGAATGAAATGTTATGCTGGTTTGATTGATCTGTCGGTCTTTATTGACCGTTTAAAATGTAACTTTTCCTAAACATTCCTGACTTCTGATTCTTCACTGTATGATGAAAGGTGACTCAGCAATGTCTGAGAAACTAACTATGAAGTGAATTAGAAGGAAAGGAGATTATAGTCATATCAGTTACCCAAGAAGTTAACATAATGTCATGAAATTTCAGCAAGATTGTAATACATGAAGTTCCTTGTTTCAACAGTATATGCTAAAATGACTAACTTTTATCTTAAACAGGTTCCAAAACTATTTTCCTATTATCTTATATCAGTCAGTGATATGTATTGTATAATCTTGGATATGAGTGGATTTGTTAAGTCTGATACATGACATCATTTATAAGATAATAGAGTATAATATGTAGTAAAAGGATTAGTAAGAGCATAAATGATTAAGTATTAGATATCCCAGAAGTTATGGATTCGTAGAATAAAAAAAATATTCCGAGATAATCTGAAAACGTGGAATGTTAAACAATTTAGTTCATCTCAAATTTAAGCACCAGAATTCAGAAGACACATTTTTTACTAAACATAAAGTATGCTAAACAGTCATACTCTCGATTCAACAAATAGATTTAGAGAATTTTACTTTTACTCAAGATGAGTGAACCAGAATAATACCATGGAAACGAATGAAGGCTTTAAAATTACTCTGAATAATCAGGTTGTAAAACTTTTAATAATAGAGAATCCGAAAGCTATAAGCATTGCGTGTTTTTCGCTCACCTTTTTACCGGCAACCAATGGTATAATAATTTCAAAAGCTTTCAGGAAACTTTTCAGGCTATGAGGTTTTTTAGGAATAAGCTTCTCCTTAAGTTCTTCTAAATTTTGGAATGTGTTTTCTGTTTTTTGTTGATTAGATAACTCGAATAATGTTTCTGGTCTGATAGCACCATCCAGATGCACATGCAAATCAACTCCATATGAATCCGACGGTAGACGCATTTATGAACTGTGTGGCGTTTAGTCTTCAGTAAGTTAAGCTATAGCGTTAAAACACGTTGTATTCTGAGAAAGTATGAACAGCAGAGTGTGAGAGGATCTATAGAAAGAAATAAAAAGAAATAAAAACGGAACAGAAACAGTAGGTACTTAACGTATGTCTGTTTTTAAGTGTAACAAATACAGGATTGACATCAAGAAAACTTTATTAAAAATATTATTTATAAGAGTAGCATAAAAATGATTTTATATGTGTATTGGTTTTGATGAAAAGCGTAATGAATAGTTATAGAAAATCTAAGATAAACAACTCTGTATCCGATAATAGATAATTAAAACTAGGCACAACAAATAAAATCGGTTCAAGAAGTAAAGTCTTTGGGTTTATTTTGAATCAGTTTTTTTATTCTGACTCTACACTGATTGAACATTTTCTCGCTTTATCCGTGCTTTTCAATGTATGTTAAACTACGAACTTTCACCGTCAATTCAGAACTAGTCCCAGATTAAGACCGACAGTAGGACCCAACATGATATTCAGGCGCGTCCACAAGGCAACTTACTTTTTTAGCCCAACGATGAAGCACCGTCACAAAAAAATCAAACAAAAGTTTCCTAAATATAATTTGGGTTTTCGGTGCATGAAAACAAAAATGACCTTGATTGGTTTCGTACAATATTATTTATATAGATGTTAGTCTGTCACATCTTACAAGAATGAAAAAATAAAAAAATTTACCCGGAATATACAGAGATTGTCATTTTACATTAACAAACCACTTGATGATTAGTGGTTAGGTACCAAAACAATTCGTGCAAAATCAGGTAACATATTTGATATATGATTAGACTATTTGCAAAAAATATCGTTGATATACCCGCAGGTGTCTTTGAATAGTGTTTTTATGTCTTATTTTTCTAACACTAATGATTTGTGTGGTTCAAATTTTAAACCGATTAGAACCTTGTAAGTATACTTGGAGGTCCACTGAGACATTTCGTCGTACCAGTCATCAAGTTAAGCTGTTGGAAAAATCTGCACAATGCAAGCATCACTTTCGAATTCATTCCAACACTGACGAAGTTTCATTCCATTATCATAGCTAAGTTGGTTACATATACTATCCCTCGTAAATAGGCAGCACTCATTGTTTATGATCTTGGAAAGATTTATCAATCTGAGAACATTACAAAACACTTGTATTGCATTTGAATGTAATTACCCGCTTAAAAGTTTCAAAAGGTAGATGATTCCTCTTAAGTAACTAACAAGAAGTACTGTGATTCTGACGCGATCCTACAGTTGTCATTACATCTAATCAGGAAGATCAACTTGGAAATAACATGCTAGAGACTGATTGCCAGAAAGAACTAAGGCTGGGTAGTTCACGCTTAACTCAGCTTCAGAACGAAACTGAACAAAAGGAAGTTACATAATCATGAAAGCGAACGTCTAGATCATACAGTAAGTAATAATGTGGATGAAATATCAGATACTTTAGTTTGTAAAAATGTAGTGGAACTATTTTATGAAGAAAACATAAATGCTGACATACAAATACTTATTACTGAACATGTATAACAATATCTGTTTCATTGTACACCTTTTGTTCATCTGTACTAAAAGCCATTACTCAAGCGCCAATCTTCCCAATCCTGTGGCTGAATTGATCGTTCGTGTTATTTCACTGTCTGGCAGTACACGTGATATCATTTTGATATCACGCGACTTATAATCAATAAATATCGTTATTCTATAACGCGATTATTCTTGGTTTCGATTCGTTTGGGAGTTTTCATCTGGCAATCATCCCGACAGCTATAAAAGAATGAAATCTTGGGATTTAAAGATACACACGCACGTAATTTCACAGGGAGTTTCGAAGAATGTACCTCTAATGAAATTAGGACGTCAAAGGCAGATGGAACCTGATTTAAAGCCAGGATGCTACTTAAATTGACTCCGGTTTTGGTCCAGATACTTAAACAAACCCTCTGAAGTGATCTTTTCTCAAAATGTACCAGATGTACTGACTAGGCGAACTGATTGATAATTCATAGTTCTGCGTTTGGAAAACAGGGCTTATTATAGTGTCCGCTAATGTTCCTTGGGTTACAGATATGATACAAAATACTTAAGGGAAATGTGATACAATTCGCTAGTTTACTAGGGAATCTAGGGTGCACTTCGGTAGATTCTTTGAATTTGTCTAAATGAAGTATAGTTAATAGACCACAGTCATCTAGTTCCCTAATGGTCATAGTATTCAGAGGGGCTCGTACAAGCCAAAGGAATTTAAGTATAACTGAGTTTTACTATAATTGCCTTCTACTGACGATGTAATATTGGCATATTTTCATAATACTGGTATACTGTTTCTTCTCTCAATCGTTTGGCGTATGTACGAGTACACGATATTTGTATATTCTGTGAAATCCCTAACTATCTTTCTTTCACACAGTCTTCTTGACTTGCGGAGGGTCGAGGTACAAATATATGAGGTTTCCTGATATTGGGAATTTATCTCATCACAGCTAAGTGTTCTGAGTTTCCCCACAGACTTTTCCTCTTACTAAAAAGAGTGTGAACGTCCTACATGATCCATGAGGAGAATTTATGGATTTCCTTGGTATACTTCAAGGAAATTCACCATAGCAACTTTACCGTTCAAAGTTCTAAATACTTCTCGAGCAGTTTCAATGGAGGATTCAGGTTCTATTGTTCAATCTACGGACGACTCTAAGTGAATTATTTCCTGCCTGTTTTCATCAAAAAGCTTTTCTTTGGCTAGAGTTGGTACATCTTTTTTAACTGCTCTCTGGGAATTAGAGACCTGACTCACTCAGCCAAACCAGTCAGTAACTCTTGTCCCTTGCATTTTAAGCGACATCTAACTAATCTACATATTCTAATTCAGTGGTATAAGTTATCAGGAATGTTAAGAGGGTTGGTATACGCATTGATTAAAGCTACTCTTCCTCTATGCTTCTGGGTTCTGCTGGTTGTTGCTGATGTGAACTTTTCCAAATCAAGTTCACGACTATGCACAGACCGTATCAGACGAGTTCCCTCGACAGCCATTGCATCCAACATGGTAGTCTCTCTGTATACCTGGGTAAGCTTCAGAATTTGTGTAACACATTCAAAAACCATTTAAATGGCTGCGTAAAACCCACTCATTAGTTTTGATAGAAGTAGCAAACACAGCTTTACCCTAATTAGTTAACAGGTATTATCTGTAAGTTATATGTCAATGATCTATGATTTGACAGCCGACTAAGTAAGAACAAGAAGTTAATGGTAAAGTGTGTGTCGTGAAAACCGAGACAATGTACTGGAAACGGTGTAGGGTCAGAACAAAAAGACAAGTTTTAGTCAGCAGCAATGACTGAATTGTCAAAATGTGATTAGTGACAAAAAGTATTCGGATTATAGTTCTTCGTCAACCGTTTTCATAAATGCTTATTGCCTTTAACTATTCAAAAGAAAATTTTACGGAAAGAAGATATACGAGATCTTTTTAGTATTGGAAGTTGGTTACTTTGAAACTAGACAACACTTATTGTAGCCACTTCATTCGTAATTCACGATATGTTGGCGCCTTTTTAAGTGTGTTCAAGGTCAAATTGTCCGTCAGTATAGTAGGATGTCGGTGCGAAGGGGTAGGGCAGCCAAAGCAACTGGATATAGCCTAGCACAACCGATAGATCCGGGAACGTTAATACGCGACTCGTTCAAAAGAACATGGGTCACTGGTTCTGCAATCGGTCAGGGTGGATTCGGGTGTATATATTCAGGTAGAAGTTGATTTTTGGCTTCTTTATAACTGACTCAGCCAAACTGGAGGGCGAGAGAAATTACCGTTATGTTATTAAAATAGTAAGAATTTCAGTACTAACGTAGGGATTTTTCAGGAACCACAGTCAAATGGGCCATTGTTTACGGAAATGCATTTCTACATGAGGACGTGTTCAGAAGACTCAAGTATGTTTACAAAGTGTATTTATAATAAAAGTAGGAAAGCCTTGTTACCCCATTTTTTACGTATGTTGCGACTTTTGTTCTTAGCATGTAAGTTTGGGAAATGTTACGAGATATGATTTACCGTGGATACGTTCTTGATATTTAGGTGAAGTACAAACTGCAGTCATACATTCTGACAACTAGCTAGTTTCCTGTTTTAGATTAGTTTCACAATGTCACCATCACACAGTGTATAGCGATGTTTGCACATTCGATAAACACACGACACCTCCTTTGCTACTATTCCTAACAGTCAGTCAGCTAAACGTGGAACTTCGTACGTACGTACATCAATTCAAGTTCCTATACCACATTAGCACGGAGACGCAATCGTCAATTCAAATCCCATTGTAGTAGAGGTAGTAGGAAAATTAGCTGTAATCGGAGAGATTAAGGTTCGGAGATATTATTCAAGAAGCATAATCCAGTGAAATAAACTTAAAAAGAAAAAGATAAAGGTGATGAGGAATTCAGAAGGTTGCGATTTGAGAGGACACAAAGAATAAATACACCTGCACCATTGCAAACGGTTTTGAGCCATTTCACTCAGGGTCTCTAACCATCAATTACCACCATCTCGCGGACTCCAACTAGGTAGTCTGCATATACCAAAATGACAGTCCATTTGTCTGTGTCTTCATGGATCTCTGAGATGTTTTAGTTTGGCGATGGAGAAGACTAGGGTTCGACGATAATATTCAAGAAGTATGATTCAATTAAAAATACTGAGGTCTATTCGCAACATGTGTAGAGCGATTGAAAATGGTAATAATCTTGATGAGTCTCAATACTACTATATAATATTGAATACAGATAGTCTTATTCCGGTGCTTTAAGGCACTTCATAGCATAACCTGCAAAATAACAGCATGCTCAAAAAATTTATCTGGTACACAAATGCGGGAAGTCAAAATTTACTAATCATTCCTAATATGAAGAGAAATTATTTACCTCAATGTGTTTTGGTTAAAATGGGAAATTCGATGTCCAAAAGCTTGTTATATCCACAGAGTGCGCATTTCATTTGTGATTTTTAGTATATTTGATGATGTTTGTACATCACTTTGGATGTTGACCAGTGTGATTTTGTGGAGCATAAGGCGACTTTTATACGGATTTTCAATGTCTTGGTTAGTTTCATGTAATGTTCATATTTTATGAGCGCTGTAATCTTATAAACAACTTGTAAAAGTATCCATGCTTCAATCCCTAAAGTATACGCCATTGTTCATATCAAAAACCAGTTGTGTGGTTGTATCAAAATTAGTTTTGTTTCGCCTGTAAATTGAAATTCCAGTTTAAGCAGCTCGAATGTTGCCGGAGATCTACTGGTTCGAATTGCTCTATATCTTTTAGCCATATAGTATGCTTCATCATCAAAGGTATTTGAAATCTAGCAAAGATGTTTTATTGACTGTTAAATTGCTTCAGTTTGTTAACTCCTTTGTATGGTTAGAGAAGTTTTGTTATTTCAGTTAAATGGAAGGAATAGTGTTCACTGCCTGTATTCCGCCATTCTTAATTGGTGATCAACTAGTTGTCCTTATTTTAGGACATTAGTCATACTAAACTATTTGGTTCATAGTAAACTGTTTTCGAACCCGTAACTCATTGACCAGTAGTCAAAGACCATGTATCATTAAGTCCCAGTTTTTTCGATTATTTTCCTGTTGTCATAGTACTTAATATATGCCAATAGTTTTGTCCTTGCGAATTTGAACAGTTTCAATGAATATCATTCGTGTACAATTGGTCAGATACATAAGCGAATGTGTATAACTGTCCAGGTGTTTTGTTTCGTTAACTCCTCGGTCAGTCTGGTTGATTTCAAACATATTTAAATCTTAAAATGTCCTTTTTTCTTTTATAAGACTAAATATGGTTCACATTTAATAATATGTACCTATCTTTTTGTCACCTGACTAATATACAAGTTGATTCGTGGAAGGTGAAACACTCCCTCAAATACCTTGGTATTCCGAGGTATATAAGCAGTGGTTCAATCAGTTTAAACAAAACAGCTCTCCGATTTCTCGTAATGGATCGATTCTCTGGAGATTTTGAAAGTACACTGAAAAATCATGAAATATCCACAGCTGGTATCCTCGAAGTTTGTGCAAATGTAGTGAGTATTTTGATCATAATGTATTTATAATCTAGCTCAAAAGATGTTTTATTGTGTACCACGTATACTAAAAATCCTTATTTATCTCCTGAATCGACAAAATGAGTAAGACTTGGGAATTAACTTTTCAATATCATACCGACTATTGTATTTCTCATCAAAGACTAATATTTTTAGTGTGCTTCTAGGAAGAGTTATAATATAACGCATTGGGCGATAAATAGATTAGATCAACCAATTATACAAATACGAGCTACCGAGTAAAATATATGCTTAAAATTAGTATGAAGAGTCAGTCATTTACAACTTAGAACGTCGTACGTACTTACTTATGAGAGAGTATGTAAGTGAGACTGTATTAAGGTCAACCTTCTACACAGTTAAGTGTATTAGTTATCTGTAAATTTCTATGTATACATGAAATTTACGCAATGAACTGGGGTTACTTGCAAAACTCATTACTTTAACCTTTGTTTTGATTAATAGCTTTTCTATATCGCTAGTTTTGTTTATAATTTTTAAAACATTTCAGTTAAATGCGTTAGAGTATATCCATTCAAGAGACTATGCACATGCAGATATCAAGGCCTCAAATCTTCTTTATAAAACTTCACAACAGGAGGTTAGTTTTAAATACGTAGTTAATAATGTATTCAGTTAATTTTGAAATCTTTTTTTATAAGTAATTGTATGACGTACGTTTTTGATTGTATACGTTGTGTTTGTATATATCGTATATTTTACCCACAAATTATTATAAACTACTCATTGTTACGAGACTAAAAACTGTCAATACAAGATTTAATATACTCAATGCAGTTACTCTTCATCCACTTTCAACACTTGCGACCTCAGCCTCTGTTCTTATGAGGAAAAACGTCTCCTGCCACTGCAGAAAATATATTTTGTAGGAAAATATCACTTTTTATACGGTTTTTCTTTTCGGTGATTATAAATTAGAAACGAATTACTTGCTGAAAAAGTTCCAAGACTGCAAAAACGTAAGTAATCATAGTCTAGTTTATGTATTCAAACACTCAAACATTGTTCCAAAGGATACCAAAATAAATGTGAGTTACACAAACCGTCGAATTTGTGTATGGGCTGGTATGCTGCCCAGGTGCCGAAAGTAAAGCCTTTGAACCAGAGGTCTAATCGAAAAGGCAGTGGCAAAACATTGGGAGATGCAGTCTGATGGTTACCGGTGACCGAGGACAAGTTCATACGCCATTTGTTCCCTTGGGATCCTGGAACCCATGTGCACCATTGACTGGGAGTCAGGGTTTTCCAGTTGTGCTAGATGAATCCTCCATACCTACCAACTCCATCTAAACACAATATATTCGCTTCTCGTCCTCTTAACTTCATTAACTACACCGTTTCTACGAGAAGGTGATGAGTAGGACTGCCTTGAATGGTCATTTACATGTGGCCATATGAGAGCATTCGGAGAGGAAGAGCTAGCTCTCCCCACCGCCGGCCGTACCGAGGTATTTGGGGGCAAAGCCAACCTCAGCGGGACAATAAGATAATTAGTGAAATAATAAATACTAAACTGAAGTATAATTATCTTGAACTGATCAACAATCATACTTTTGATCGCTTCTTATAAGTGGCCATAGGGAAATCCCACATCATTTCTCGATGGGATATGAGGAACTAGAATAAACTCTAATGTCTAACCTGAATTCTGTTTGACCATGTGTATTTCCGTGTATAATATTTTGTATTATAAACATGTTATCTTGCCAAAATAATTTATTCGTTTGAATGGAGTGAAAATGTTTCTCAGTACAGTTCAGCCTGGAATTCGCGTTAATAATCCGGTCTCATCTTAAACGGTAGTATTATTGCATATTACTTGCTGATCAGCATTTCATCTATTCATTTGAACATCCCTGCAAAGTCGGACCATCACAACGCACCAAAAACTCACTGTAACAGTAATATAAAATGCTTCAGGACTAAATTGAATGGTGATCCTACTACTATAGTGTTCTTAACTGTGATCGGTGGTTGTAGACGTTTGGATGGTGTGGATAAGAATCTGTTACAATGATGCAAATACTCTCTATCTGGGGATTCAGTATTCCTTCATACATACATATTTTCATTTTGTCTTTGCATTTGTTCTTCCTCATCATCATTTCTCGCTATTCAATCTTATTAGTTTCACCTTGTGTTATTTCAGTATATTAAATTAGGGTGATGAATATTTTTCTTCAGGCTTTTATGACTGACTGATTTCCTTATCGTGTTAAATTATTAACTGTAAGATATTTATATGTGACTAAACCATAATCGATTATAGTCTCACTAAAGTTTTATTTAGCTTCAATAAAATTGGAAAAAAACCCCATATCCCATGATTACGAAACTCGTTGTTTCTTTTTTCAAAAAAAATTTCTAAATTTCAGGTTTATCTAGCTGATTTTGGTCTAGTTCATTTGTTTCGTTCAAAAGGTGTACATACCGCTGAAAAGTCAGATCCAAAATTTCGTCACAATGGCACGATAGAATTTTGTTCACGAGATGCACATAATGGTTGGTGTATTTTTAAAAAAAAAAGATATGGTGTTTATGTATTATTTACCTGTTATTTTAAGTACTTTTTCAATGATATATTATATTAATGTGTATTTTCAAAAAAATATTTATTTCAAAATTTTTTCCAGTCATAAAATGTATATACTACTCAAACTGTGATGTGTATTTGTATAGAATTTTTAAATAAGCGAGCGAAATTATCCAACTTATTATGACTTACTTACATTCGCGTGTTATCTTCGTAGAGCATAGGCCACCGACCAACAATCTCCAACTGGCTCTGTTTTGGGCTTTCCTTCCCGATTGTTCTCATGTGCTATTCATTATTTGAACGCCTGCCTCCAATTCCCAGCGCAATGTTTTCTTTCGTCTTCCTCTTTTTTCCTTTGGTCCTGAGGATTATAAGTTCGGGTTTGCATTGTAACACAGTTTGGTGATTTCTGAAGTGTATCCTTTCCACTCATTATTATATGGGCTAGTGGTTGTTGTTGAGCGAATCAGAAGTCAAATGAGGTCGTTTGGTGACCATCAGAGAATTTCTCAAAGGACGAGTATTTCTATATATTATTCGATAACCAAACTCGTTAGGAAACGAGTACTAGGTAAGGATGGCAGATCAATAGATGAAGTGGTCAAACTTCATCAGTTGAGGTGGTTGGGGCATGTGTTACGTATGGCTAACCACCGACTGCCTCGACGAGCTATGTTTTGCAGTGTAGGAGTAGGTTGGAAGAAAGCTAGGGGCGACCAGACCAAAACATGGCAGAAATACATGAAGTCACTGACTAGTGGACTGAGTCATGTCGGTAGATGTAGACTACCTGGTTGGGGTCCGCGAAACGAAAGTCACAAATGGTTAGAGACCTTGAACGACATGGCTCAAAATCGTTTGCAATGGCGCAAGTGCATCCATTCTTTGAGCTCTCTCAACTCCTAATCTTCTGGATTCGTCAGCACCTCTACCTTTGCCTTTCTAACTTTATCTCACTGAATTATGCTTCTTGAATAATATCTTGGGACCCTAATCTTCTTCATTACCAGTAATACCTCTATTATCTTTATCACTATGGGATTCGATTTGACATTTGCGTCTCTGTGCTAATGTGGTGTGGCAACATGAACTTATGTACATACGTACGCAGTTCTACGTTGCAACTGACTGACTGAAACAGTGTCCATTCTGCTCTTGCCTTCTAGCTCAAGTAGCCAGTCAATAGGAATGAGGGGGGTGAGCACATATCGCGATTGGATCTTGGGATCCGCACTTTATAACAGTTGTCTTCTTATATGGTTGTTGCTTAGATACTACTCTTCACTCTGTTGAATTCCATTTGGATGTTATTGAGTGGTAAAGTGGCATTCATCAGTATTTGAATGTTCTATGAGTATTGTTCGGGCGTTGATTTCCAATTTTTGTATAATCTATTTTATACTTCTGATAGATTATACGATCTTACTATTGATTATTTGAACATAAAATACCAAACAATAAGTCGTTAACCAATTTTAATCTTACGAAACCGTTTTTGGTACACTTAGTTAATTCAGTCTATATGGATTGACTTAAATAATCGGCCAAACTCCTCTCGTCTTTAGGTTAGTGTCATTTTGACCTATTGTACTCTGATAGCTAATAACTGATCTCATTTGTTCGAGGAGGGTGTTGTCACGGCTTTTTTATGTTCTGTATCTCACATTTCGTCGTATTTTCTTCCAAAGTGAACTGGATGCTTCAAAACTTCGATTTTTGCCATGTTATTGTGATATCAGTTGATCTCTCAGCAGTTCTACATATGTCTATC